ACCCACCGTGACACGAGTCCCCATGAGTCAGGTTTAAGTCCCCACCAGGATATATAAACCTGTACACACACACACACACACACACACTGTCAGCAATGTGTCCACAATGCTGACAGAAGAGTCAGTGACCTCTTCAAAATATCCTTGGATCTCAATGTTCCACAAATGGGATGAACGGTTCATTTATTTATTTCTTTTTATTATGGCTATTAAAATTTCAGTGTCCAGTGGTTCTGATACTGGGTTTCAGTGCATGAAAGCTCATAATGCGGTCAGCTTATGGGTCAAAATGAAGCTCTTTAATCAGATTCAGAGAAACCAAAACATGTCACTGCAGAGGTCCTGCACTTTTCCCAGACTTTATTTAGTTGACACAGATGGTGTTTGACCTTTCTAATGTGGTCGCGAAAATTAAACTACGTACTATTGACAAAAGGCCCCACAGAATTCTCTTGTTTCAAATCTGAGTCACTCGATTTAGTCCAAGAACTGGTTTCATGTAGGAGGCCATGGTCATTTGAGTGTTTGGTGATTGTTTGGGTGGTTGGTAAGGTATGTATGTGTCTCAAATAGCTGCCAAAGCTGATTCATAAGCTGAACTGAGAAGGACGTTGGAGTAATGATCTCCTAATACCCAAAATCAAACCAAATCCAACAATGTAGTCATTAAAAAAACTTTATTGTGCTATGTAATAAATGTTTCGGCTTTTCTCTCAGCTCTTGTCGCAATAAAATGACCACGCGCTGTGAAGAAAGCGAGAGAGAAAACATCCTCTTTATGGGAAGTGGTTTTTGTTCTGAAGTAATGTCTTTCAAATGTTAAAGCAGTGTACCACACCTCCAAACACACTGCAGTGATTATTTCTGTCTTCTGGTTTGGATATGTGCTTCAAAACTCAACATTGCCCCAGGGACCACTGAGACGCATTAGTCCATGTGTCCCCAACAATCAAAGGCAAGAGATTTTCTGTTCAGACACTGTTGTTGTTAATAGTCTGAACAAAGTTAGAAAAAATGAAAAAAGCAAAACCTTAGAGACAGATCATGCTCTCACAGTGTTTTGGTTTATTGTTTAGAAAAAGAGACTTTTTTGGGCCACTTCATTCAGTGTCTCGCATCATTATATCACTGTTGTTCTAGTGTTCCAGCTCAGATGTGTTGTTGACACAGGTACTTTGAGGTTTGCATCAGGCTATTGATTGCTTAGGCACTGCGTTGTAGCCTGAAGATGTTGAATTTGTAGACCTTTTAAAACTAACCATGTAACCTGCACATAAAAATTCAGTTGATTTTAAATGTGTTTAAAAGAAGTCTCTTATAGCACCAAAGCTGCATTTGCTCAATTGAAAATATAAAAACAAACAAACATTAATATTGTGTATATTAGTGTTGGGTTCGAGTCCACCTAAGTTGAGTGCGAGCCTTTAACCAAGTTGGACTCAAGTCCGAGTCCTAAGTCTGCTAAAAGTTGCACTTGAGTCCGAGAACCCCAACTCTAGTGTATATTTTTACATTTTCAAAATAACTATGTTCTACAGTAATATATTTCAAATTGTAATTTATTCCTGTGATGTCAAAGCTGAATTTTCAGTCATTACTCCAGTCTTCAGTGTCACATGATCCTTCCGAAATCATTTTAATATGCTGATTTTCTTATTATTATCAATGTTGAAAACAGCTGTGCTGATCAATATTGTTGTGGAAACCCTGATACATTTTCTTTTAGTGTCCTTGATTAATAGAGAGTTCACTTTTGATCAATTTAAATGCATCCTTGCTATAAAAAATCCTTAATGAAAAAAAAAAACCTAAACATTTGGAGGGGTAAATACTGTATTCTCTCAGAAAAAGAGGTGCAAAAGTTGTCACTGGGGCTGTACCTTTTCAAAAGGTACACTTTTGTACCTTAAGGGTTAGTACCCAAATATTAGCAATTTTTGAAAAGGTGTACTTGCCCCAGTTACAGCTCTTGTACCTTTTTTTTCTGAGTGTATGTATACATATATA